TTACTGTAGACATTATAAAATACTTAGGAGTCTACCTCCCGAAACAAACCCAGGAACTCTATGAACACAATTACAAAGCACTTTCCATGCAAATAAAATCAGATCTAAATAATTGGAAAAACATCAGTTGCTCATGGGTAGGCCGAGCTAATATAATAAAAATGACAATTCTGCCTAAGCTAATTTACTTATTCAGTGCCATACCAATCAAACTACCATGAAATTATTTTATAGAGTTAGAAAAAATAATAACAAGATTCATTTGGAAGAACAACAGGTCCAGAATATCAAGAGAACTAATGAAAAGAAATGCAGGGGAAGGTGGCCTAGCCATTCCAGATCTTAAATTGTATTATAAAGCAGCAATCATCAAAACTGCTTGGTACTGGCTAAGAAATAGAGTGGTGGATCAGTGGAATAGGTTAAGTATGCACGACACAGTAGTCAATGACTATAGTAATCTACTATTTGATAAACCCAAAGACCCCAGCTTCTGGGATAAGAACCTACTCTTTGAAAAAAACTGCTGGGAAAACTGGAAAAGAATATGGCAGAAACTAGGCATAGACCAAAATCTCACACCATATACCAAAATAAAGTCAAAATGGGTACATCATTTAGATATAAAGGCTGATACTATAAGCAAACTGAGAGCGCAAGGAATAGTTTACCTGTCAGATCTATGGAGAACAGAAGAATTCATGACCAAACAGGAGATAGAGAACATTATGAAAAGCAAAATAGATAATTTTGATTACATTAAATTGAAAAGTTTTTGCACAAACAAAGCCAATGCAACTAAGATTAGAAGGAAGGTAGAAAAGTGGGAAAGAATTTTTACAATCAGTATCTCTGATACAGACCTCATTTCTAGAACACATAGAGAATTAAGTCAAATTTATAAGAATACAAGTCATTCCCCAGTTGATAATTGGTCAAAGGATATGAACAGACAGTTCTCAGATGAAGAAATTAAAGCCATCTATAGTCATATGAAAAAATGCTCTAAATCACTATTGATTAGAGAAATGCAAATCAAAACAACTCTGAGGTACCACATCATACGTATCAGAATGGCCAACATGACAAAACAGGAAAATGATAAATGTGGGAGAAGATGTGGGAAAATTGGAACACTAAAGTATTGTCGGTGGAGTTGTGAAATGATCCAACCATTTTGGAGAGCAATTTGGAACTATGCCCAGAGGGCTATAAAAATGTGCATACCCTTTTACCCAGCAATAGCACTTCTAGGGCTATATCCCAAAGAGATCACACAAATGGGAAAAGGACCTACATGTACAAAAATATTCATAGCAGCTCTTTTTATGGTGGCAAAGAATTGGAAATTGAGAGGATGCCCATCACTTGGGGAATGGCTGAGCAAGTTGTGGTATATGAATGTGATGGAATACTATTGTGTTATAAGAAATGATGAACAGGCTGACTTCAGAAAAACGTGGAAAGACTTGTATGGTCTGATGCTGAGTGAAGTGAGCAGAACGAAGAAAACGTTGTACACAATAACAGCCACATTGTGTGATGACTAATATTGATAAACTTAACCCTTCCTGGCAATACAAGGATCTAAGACACCTCCAGAGGCCTTGTGATGGAAAATGCTATCCACACCCAAAGAAAGAACTATGGAAGCCGAATTGTTATTTTTTTTCTCTTCTGTTGAGTTTTGTTTCCTCTTTCTGATGGTTCCTCCTATTGGTTTTAATTTCTACTTACAACATCACTAATGTGAAAATATGTTTAATATGAATGTAAATGTATAGCCCATATGAGATTATGTGCCGTCTTGGGGAGGGTGGTGGGGAAGAAGGGGGAGAAAAATTTTAAACTCAAAAGTATATGGAAGTGATTATTGATAAATCAAAATAAATGAAAAAAATAAAAAAAAATAAAAAAACAAATACAGTTGCTGGGGCAGCTAGGTGGTGCAGTGGATAGAGTGCTGGTCCTGGAATCAGGAGGACCTGATTTCAAATCTGGCCTCAGACCAAACACTTAACACTAGCTGTGTGACCCTGAACAAGTCAGTTAACCCCAATTGCCTAAAAAAATAAAAGGAAAGAAGAGAGGAACACAGTACATCCCATTTGATTAAAAAAAAAACAAAACCTCACCCATAAAATGAGACAGCTGAACCTTCCCTTTGGGGGCAGCTAAGTGGCACAGTGGATAGAGCACCAGCCCTGAAGTCAGGAGGACCTGAGTTCAAATTCGGCCTCAGACCATACACTTTTCATGTACTAGCTGTGTGACCTTGGGCAAGTCACTTAACCCCAATTGCCTCACTTAAAAAAATTTAAAAAAAAAATACAATTGGCCAAATTGGGGAGGGGGGGAGTACACTGAAGAAATCAAGTCTTTAAAAAGTAGACTAGGCCAAATGGCAAAGGAGGCACAAAATCTCACTGAAGAGAAGAACTCCTTAAAAAGTAGAATGGGCCAAATAGAAAAGGAGGTACAAAATCTAATAGAAGGAAGCAATTTGTTAAAAAATTGCAATTGGGCAAGTGGAAGCTAATAATTCTGTGAGATATCAAGAATCAGTCAAACAGAAACAAAAGAATGAAAAAATAGTAGAAAATGTAAATTACTTAATTGGTAAAACAACTGACTTGGAAAACAGGTCCAGGAGAGATAATTGAAAAATTATTGATCTACCTGAGAACCATGATGAAAAAAAGAGCCTAGATATCATCTTTCAGGAAATCATAAAGGAAAATTGCCCTGAGGTTCTAGAACCAGAAAGTAAAATCGTCATGAAAAGAATCCACCAGTCACCTCCTGAAAGAGATCCCAAATTGAAAACGCCAAGAAATATTGTAGCCCAATTCCAAAATTACCACTTCAAAGAGAATACTGCAAGCAAGGCAGAAAGAAACAAATGAAATATCATGGAACCACAGTCATTATTACTCAAGACCTTGCAGCTTCTACATTAAAAGATTGGAGGGTGTGGAGTACGATACTCCATAAGGCAAAGGAGCTTGGATTACAACTGAGGATCAAGTACCCAGCGAAACTGAGCGTAATCTTTCAGGGGAGGAGATGGACATTGAACAAAATAGGGGACTTAGAAACCTTCCTGATGAAAAAAACAGAGCTCAACAGAAAATTTGATCTTCAAATATAAGACTCAAAAGAGACATAAAAAGGTAGACGAGGAAGAAAAAAAACGTGTTATTAATAAGGGCAAACTGTTTACTTACCTAGAAGGGAATATTAACTGTATTGTTATTAGGATGTTTAAAAGGGTGTCCGTAGACAGGGGGCATAGGTATAAGTTGACTTTGATGTGATGATAAAAAAATATAATGAAGTGGTGAAAAGGGATTGTTCTGGGAGAAGAGGAAAGGAGGATGCAGACAAGGGTAAATTACATCACATGAAAAGGCACAAAAACCTATTACAGTATAGGGAAAGAAGGGAGGGAGATGAGCATTGTTTGAACCTTACTCTCATCAGATTTGGCTCAATAAAGGAATAACATAATCAGTTTAGGTATAGAAATCTAACAGTGTATAAGAAGTAGAAGGAGAAAGGAAAGGGAGGGAAGAAGTAATAAGGGGAAAGGAGAAGAAAAGGAAGGGGGCTGATAAAAGGGAGGGCAGACTGAGGGAGGCAGTGGTCGAAAGCAAAACTCTAGTGAGGAGGGAAAGGGAGAAAGGAAAGAGAAAAGCACAAACCGGGGAAAATAGGATGGAGAGAAAGATACGGATAGTAATCATAAGTGTGAATGTGAATGGGATGAACTCTCCCAGAAAACAGACACAGATAGTACAGTGGAACCATAGTTCTATAGTATGTTGTTTAAAATCCTGTATGAACTGATGCTGTGAAATGAGCAGAACCAGGAGAACATTGTACCCAGTAACAGCAACATTGTGTGATGACTGACTTGGATAGACTTACCTCTTCTCACTGATGCAAGGATCTTAGACAACTCCAAAAGACTTATGATGGAAAATGCTATCCACATCCAGAAAAAGGACTTTGGAGTCTGAATGCAGATGGAGGCATACTATTTGCTCTCCTTTTCTTTTGTTGTTTTGTTTTGTTTCTTTTTTCTCGTGGTTCTTCCCATTAGTTCTAATTCTTCTTTACATTGTGACTAATGTGAAAATATTCAGTATGAATGTATAAGTAGAGCCTATATCAGATTGCATGCCATCTTGGGGAGGGGGAGGAAAGGGGAGGAGAAAATTTAAAACTCATAATCTTATGGAATTGAATGTTGAAAACTAAAAATATTTTTTAAAAAGGAAAAAAAGAAAAACCAATAGTCCATGCAGAAGGTGATGAGGGACTATACCAGGGTGGTGAGAGAAGAGGATATCTATGAGGGAAGTTATGAAGGTAAAATGAGCAGTCTTGGCAGTAGATTGGATATGGAGGAGTGAGAAAGCATGAGGAGTTGAGGATGACACACCTAAGTTGCAAGACTAGATGACTAGGAGGAATTGGAAGTGAGTAATAAGACTGTGAGCCCAGTATTCATTTCTTTGAAAAAGAAGTCAGAATGAGTTGGAGGCTAGTAGATGGTTGGACTTGGAAGTCAGAGGGAATTGAAAGAGGATGATAGACTTGGGAGATGGGAATAAAATTTCAAAAATCTGTGGTATCATGCCTTTCTGTAAAGTTCTCATCTTCAAAAGTTTTGAGCAAACATATGTAAACAGTACTGTACTGTGTTTTGTACTGCAGGTTTAAATAACATCTCTCCTATCCTTATAATTGGAAGTATTATGATTGTAGTAATTTTAACTCTAAGGACATTTTTTCCCAAATGAGTAATTTAGAAACTTCAATACCTAATTTGTCTTTGGAAGGTGATTTTTAAAAAATCCTTCAGCCATTATTTGAAACATAGTTAACTGTGTTTTACATTGAGATCATCCTTATGTAATTCATTTTTAAAAGTAAAGTAAAATGCTTTTGAGTAAATGTTAATTCTTTCTGAATTTTCTGTCTCTATACTGCAGAATGGTAAATAACGCTGACACACTTCAAGAAGCATTTTGACTTCCCCTCCTCATGTAAAGTATGCTCAGTTCCTTTCCAGTGGTGTAAGTACCCAATAATTTTCTGTAAGTTCATTTACTTTCATTTTGCTGTGCTTCTATAAGGAAGGGTAAAAATGACTATTACTGATATGTGTTGTTTAATCTAAATTTAAATAAAGAAGTATGCTTTGTCTGAAGAAACATTCAGATGATTTATCTGATGAGCATGAAATAATAAACAAACTTATTACTTTAGTTGCTTCTTTCATGCCAGGGAGTAAATTTTCAATTTTATCTGGCTTCCTTTTCCATCACTGTTTTCACGTATTTTGAACTTAACTGAATTCTGATTATTAATATCACATTTAAGTTGAAAATCATAGTTTTTTTGGTTCTAAAGAGTAGGTATAATCATAAGAACTTAACATAGTGACTTGATCATTCTATTCATTAAATGTAATATCCTTTTAACAAATTGTATGTGGTCAGTATATACCCATCTCAGACACTTGGCTTTATTTTTTGTTTAAAAGATGGTCAAGCCTAGCCACTCATGTAGTTGTTGGCCTTTTCTTGAAGGGAGATAAACAGGGCATCAGTTGAAGTGATGTCATTATATTGTGAACATTTTACCAATGTCAGTTGTATTATAACTCCTAGTTAATATTAAATAGGGCCCTGAAATAGTATTCTGAGAATTTTACAAAACAGGAAAGAAGATCTTATAGCTCATTTGAGAGCCTCTATTGAGCCAAATGCCGAATCTCTTTTATGTGAAGTGTTTAAAAATACTTGATTCAGTTTTTTTTAACAGGAAGTATCCATTATTTACATTGGGGAGATAATTTCACATTGTAATAAATCTTAAATATATATTTTTCCTTCTTTCATTTTTAAAACTTTGTGGTTTTGGCAGTGTTCCACATAGGAAAAAGCTCTGGGCTTGGAATCTGATGATCTGGGTTTTATTCACTGCTCAGAGACAGTGTGATATCTTGGAAAGAACCCTGGATCTGTCAACAGAGGATCTGGGTTCCACTTCAAACTTTGAAACTATTTGTGTAAACTTGGGTAAGGGACATTATTGCTCTGAGCTTCAGTATCCATAGATGTAAAATGAGATTATTGCACTAAAAAGATTTCTCTCTCTGATCACTTCCAGTCATAAATCCTAAATAACTGTGTGATTTGGGGAATGTCATTTCATTTTCCTGGCCTTCAGTTTCCTCATCCTTTAAAGAGTAAATAGGAGTAGGTAATCTCTTAAGATCCTATCTATCCAGCCTTAAAAGTCTGACTCTATTCTTTGTAACTTCCTTTACAAACTTAATTCCTTTTTTTATTTGAATTTTTTTCATATATCCCAAATTTATTCACTACATTTAAATCTTAACTATATAGAAAATTGTAATTATCCGGACCAGCAAGAGCTACAGGTCAAACACCTGCTCTCCAGCTGGTCAGAATTGTTCTTCTTCCTTCCTCTTCTGCCTACTCTTGACTGTACCTTTCCCACCCACCCCTGTTATTCCATCCTCACCTTAATCCTTCCCTTTCCTACCTGTTCCCCCCTTTCCCCCTCATTCCCCTTATACCTGCATTGGTCAAAGACTTGAACACTTTACTAAGTCTGAATTTTCAGAACACTACTCAACATGGACATCAGTGTGACTTAAAGTGAATTAAAAGTAACCATCTGGCTACTTAGGAATGGAAAGGAAGTTGGAAACATTATGAAAAGTAAGAAGAATCTGTGAAAAAAGATGCATGAAGAGAGTAGTGTATCATCATCTCATAAGGGAATTGTCCTGAGAGCATAATTACTCTGTTAATGGACCCACCAGTGCCATCTTTAAAACTTTTCCTGTGATCATTGACATACAGAGGACATCAAGAGTTCTATGACCAATGGTACAGCCCCAAGTGGATCCACCTACCACATTACCCCTAAGGCTTTCTGTCCCTGCTAACCAGTGTGATTCTTTCTTTGGGGGGAAAAAGGATGCAAAAATAAAGAAATAAGAGATAATATAGGGGCTCAGTTCCAGGTAGCAGAGGAATATGTGCATAACCTAGTGCCTGGCACAGAGTAGACACTTAATAAATGCTTATTGACTGATGGCTGCCAACCTCAACAGAGCAGTCCATCACTATTGCTGGCATCCCACAATCCATCATTGAGTGTATCAAATAAATCTTTATGGTCATGTTGGAGTTTTCTCCTCCATTTCCTCAAAGGGCGTGAGCACCTTATTCTGGCCCAACCCCTGCAACTCTCCAGTCATCTTTGCAGGTCATCAGGAAAGGAATGGTATAATCAGTGACAGCACATTTCATCCCTCACCCCTCTGTCCATGTACCTCAACTCTGGCCTGAAAGAACCACCTTTAGAGTTAACCGAGCACTCTGAATTTGGCAACATGTGGCATATGGCAACACCATATGGCAACACCAAATTCACTGGCATTTATTTAATCCAGCTCCCTTGAAGTGAAAGACTTGGGCATGTTTGTTACATGTACTCAGATTGCTTCTCAAGGACTCACCATTCCAAATGACTTAAGTGGCTGCATAATTAGGCATCAAAGTTGCAAAATCAGTGAGTATTTTTTGATATCGAATGGGTTTAGATGAAAATTGTTAATACAGTGAAATTATGTACTGATAGCCAGGTTACCATCACTAGAACTTCTGCCAATATCAGCCTTGCCCAGTATACAATCAGTGTCAGTGGCACTTCACTCAGAATTAAGTGAAATAGGGAGCTGCTGGAATGATGCAGACTCACCCATAAATCCCTTCAGCTGCTCACAATCTGGGATTCATTGATATAGTTTCTGGAAAATCACTTAAGTGATTCCAGGTTTCAATATTTTATAAATGTTCAGTTTCTGCAAATTTTTTCATTTGCTTGTGATTTTTACCATCATATCATTTTAATTTCTTCATCTGTTCAGTTATTAATGCTGAGAGCTATATTTAGTTTTGTAAGCTTTTCCCTCTTTCATGGGAAAATTAGGGAGATTTGGGGGCTTGTGAATTTTTTTCTGCTTTGACACTGAAATTTAAGAATGGGATTTTAATATATTTCAGGTTAGTTCTGTGATGTCAGGAATTTTTAAAAGTTGGACAAAAAATGGTGATGATCATAGGAACACTTAATATAACCTGAATAATGAATGGAAAAAATACATATTGTTATATAATCAAGTCATAAATGTTGGTTTAGTTGAAAGAGCACTGGCTGTAGATTCAGAAGATCTGTATTCAAATCCCACATTATGCTTACTAATAATGTGACCTTGGGAAAGTCATTTAATACCTCTGGGTCTCAGTTTATTTAACTGTAAAGTGAGAGGGTTGGAATATGAGATCCTCAGAGGTGCTTCTTAGCTCTGGATCTATGGTGCTATGACTCTGGTGTTTGAGCTTATTTTAGTATCATAATCTGCCACCATGGTGTGTTCTTGTACTTTGGTTTTCCTAATGACTTAAATGATGAGTTTATTTACATCATACTCACAACTAAGCTTATTGACTTGAATGCAAGCGTGCAACTTGTCTCTCCTTAACAATAGTGTTAGTAACTAACAGATAAATCTATACTCAGTAAAACCTTACTTAAAGTCTACCATCCTATGCATCGCATGTTGGTTATTGGTCTTTTTTATACATAGAATGTTTTGTTTTGTTTTTTGATGTATAGATTCTTTTTAATTTTTTCTCAATTACATATAAAGACCATTTTTAACATTCTTTTTGAGAAATTTTGAGTTTCAAATTCTTCCCCTCCTTGAGAAGACAAGCAATTTGCTATAGATTATATAGATGTAGTCAAGCAAAACATATTTCCGTATTAGCCATGCTGCAAAAGAAAATAGACGAAAAAAAAAAAGAAAAATTAAAGTTAAAAATGTATGCTTTGATCTACATTCAGACTCCATCAGTTCATTCTCTGGAAGTGGATAGCATTTTTCAATATAAGTTCTTTAAAGTTGTCTTGAATCATTGTATTGCTGAGAATAGCTATGTCATTCACAGTTGATTATCGTACAATACTGCTGTTACTTTGTACAGTGTTCTGCTGATTCTACTCACTTCACTTTGCATCAGTTCATATAAGTCTTCCCAAGTTTTTCTGAAAGCATCTTGCTCGTCATTTTTTACAACACAGTAGTATTCCATCACAGTCATATAGTGCAAGTTGTTTAGCCATTCCTCAAGTGATGGGCATTTCTTCAATTTCTAATTCTTTGTTACAACAACAAAAAAAAGCTGCCATAAATATTTTATACATATGTATGTACATATATGTATACATGATTATATATGTACATATATATATATATACACACACACATATGTCCCTATATATCCTCCCTAAAAAAGGAATCCTTATCTTTTTTTTTTTTCCCAATCTCTTTGGGATACAAACATTGTAGTGATATAGTGGTCAAAGTATATGGATGATTTGATAGTCCTTTGGGCATAGTTCCAAATTGCTCTCTGGAATTGTTGGATTAGTTTAACGCTCCACCAACAGTGCACTAGTGTTCCAATTTTTTCCCATTCCTTCCAACATTTGTCATTTTCCTTTTCTGTCATATGAGCCAATCTGATAGGTGTGAGATGGTTTAGAGTTGTTTTAATTGGTATTTCTCTAATCAGTAGTGATTTAGAGCATTTTTTCATATGACAGCAGATAGCTTTGATTTCTTCTTCTAATAACTTCCTGTTTATTTTCTTTGACCATTTATCAATTGGGAAATGACTTGTATGGGGAATGACCTAAAATTTGGCTCAGTTCTTTATTTACTTGAGAATTGAGGCCTTGATCAGAAAAACTTGCTATAAACTTTTTCCCCCAGTTGCCTGCTTTTCTCTTAATCTTGGTTGCATTGGGGAATTTTTTTGCAAAAACTTTTTAATGTAATCAAAATTATCCATCTTACATCCCACGTTGCTTTCTATCTCTTGTTTGGTCATAAGTTCTTCCTTTATCCATTCTTTCCACCTTTGGTATTCACCTGTTCCACCTAACTCTCACCTGACTTCAAGAAGCTGTAGTATGTGCAGCAGCCACG